GTTCCGTAGATAAATCGTCCATATGAGCCTCTAAAGTTTTGAGAATTGCAGAGAGCCTTATCATTTGATTTCGCAAGTAATTTTGATCTCGCAAGAGCTGCGTTTTCTAGAACCAAAATTGAAGTAAAGTCGTCAGACAACTGAACATTTTTCAAGACATATCGATGGTGAAACTACGAGACCACGTCCCTCGCTTGCTATGTTTAAAAATCTCCACTCCCATTTTATTTTTTTCAAGAAGAAAAAATATGTTTATTTCTTGAAGTCTTCACTGAGTATTCTTTGAATTTAGAAGATAAATCAGTGGAGATTTTAAAAAATAGTTGTTGCGTGTAGTTATTTTTATATAAAAAATAAAGTAAGACAGGAAGTCTGCAACATCGCAAATCAAAATATGTGGTCTGGTAGTTTTACCGTTGATATTATTATACATCTTATCATACTTTCACAGAAAATAACCCACGCAATTTTTATTTCTCTTAAAGTCTTTCTCCTTTTTTATTTTTTTCGATTCGACGGTTGACTCCTCCGTTCAAAATAAAGATTGAACGCAAGGACTACTTCAAGGAGAGCAGTGTTGTGATAAAGATCATGAGTACATTAAATTACCAAGAGCATAATCATTCTAACTAACATTTTCATGATTTTGAAAAAAAACATCGCTACAAAATAAGTGAATGAAAAATTACAATGGATATTATGCCCAAAATAAGTGAATGAAAAATTACAATGGATATTATGCCCTGATATAGACTCAAACTGGTGTTCAGATGATGGCAGTTGGACCAGGGCCGGATTAAGGGGGTGGCCACATGGGCCGCGGTCCATGGCGCAAAATTTAGGGGGCGGCAAATTTTGCAATTTTTTTAAATAAGGTACAAAAAAATTGGATTCAGAAAAAAAATTATCAATGAGGAAAGGGGACGAAATCTCTCTTTCGTGAGGGTACAGTCATTTCTAATTTTGTCGTTTTTTGGTAATACAAGAAATAGTATCTTTAATTAGTAGAATGAAGAGAGGATCTAAACACGCAATTTGGCCTGGAGCATGAGAGGAATGAGGACGAGGACTTGAGATGAAAAAGACAAGCCCTCGGCGCGACGATCGGCATGTAACACATATTAGCGCCTACAAGACTGCATGAATACTTCACCCATTGCTCCAAACATAGTGCGGTCAGGAGCGGTTGGCGTGAAACGTATAGCGCCAACAAGACTGCTGCAATACTTCACGCATTGCGCCAATCACAGTGCGACTAGCGCGGAGCAGCGGCGGAAGTTAAAATTATTAAACCACATTTATGTTTGTTCTTTCATAATTTTTTTGTTAATTTCTCTTAAATGGAGGACCTTGTCCACATAGAGATAGGTTTACGGGACTTAACTTTCGGGCAAAGTTCCGTGAAATTTTGTTAGTGGTGTTGACAGGACTTTCGCAAAAAATGTATCCAATATGAGTAGGTAAACGCGTCTCATGCACCCCTCCCCCTCCGGCACGTTCATTTGATGGTTTTTATTGATGTTTCAAAACGAATGAGAGGGGGCGGCAAGTAGGTAAATCCGGCCCTGAGTTGGGCCGAGTTTAGTAGAAAAGAACGAGGCCACATCAGTCGAAACCAGTCATCGCCGAAAACTGGGCAGTTAAATTTTTTACAAAACAGCGTTTGTGCGGATTCCTTTAAATATTTTGAGGAATTTGCTTCGAACTATGCAGAAAATTCACAGTTTGCACAGAAATCCGCACAACCGGTTTCATGCAAAAAATTAAATTTCCAAATTAAATGTGACAATATCTAATGTTGCTTGGTTCCTTGTGCTTAACGCGGTCCATTTTCGAGGGGTGGATGTGCAACAAGTACTACAAAACAACAAAAAAACAAATACCATCCGCTGTTCATCCAGTTTTGAAAAATAATGATATACTTAATATACATAAATATACTTAACGCGGCCCAGTAATAAGTTTTTATGATTAAGATTTTAGATATAGACACTTCAAGAATAGCTCTCCAGGAAACGATAGAAAATAGAAATCAAAGAGAAAGAAAATCTGAAAATGAAACAAAGTAGGTAGATGAGGAGTCATGCATCATGGTAAAAAAGTTAAAAAAAAATCAAGGTAGGAACTAATTCTCAGAGATAGATCATTATTACTATATCATAGGATCGGTTTTGGGCAGGGCCGGATTTACGTATTGGCCGCCCATGGGCCGCCTGTATTTCGCTGCACCCTTCTCACTCATTGTAAAAAAGATCAATAAAGACCATCAAATTGATGTCCCGTAGGGGGAAGGGTGCATAAGTCGCGGTTTCTCGTTTTGGGCGCATTTTTCTTAAAGCGATGTCCACCCTAGCGAAAGTTTACGGAACTATGCGCGAAAGTCAAAGCTGCTATCTCTTGTACCACCGAAAGACGACAAAATTAGAAATTACCATATTTTTGCTCTTGAGAAAGGAGAGATTTTGCCGCATTTACTCGTTCGTCGCCAATAAAAGATTTCACAGCCAGATACGCCCAAAGGCTGGCCAAGCACCCCAACTCCCGGGCTCTCAGATTACTCCAAAACTGCAAAAAGGACCTCAGACGCCTAAAAAGGCGAAAACCTTTTGACGGCATCGAAGACCTTGATTAAAAGACAGAATGGCCTCTGTTTTCTTCGAGACCGCTAAATTTTTTTATACATATTTTGTTTATTTGCTCATGTTAACCTATTTGTTTTAAGACCCGAAAAAGACACCCATTAGTTTAACCTTTTGCTAACAACTAAATTAACAGTTATACATACTACGTATATATAATTTAGTTATAAGCTAGGGTCTAAAGTTAGACTCAAAAATTCATTTACTAATCATATTTTAACCTTATAATGTAAAAACAATTAATACTCTGTAGTTTTGTTCATAAATAAAAAAAAAAAAAAAAAATCTTTTCGCCGAATCCGATTTTTTTTTCTACGTCTATCTTTAGAAAAATCGCAAAATTTTCAGCCCTCCTCCCCCTAAATCCGGCCCTAGAGTTAGGTACCTAATTGGGTTTTGAGTTTGAGGGTCGGTAAAAAATAAAGGTTCGCTTACCGCGACTACATCAGCTTGAAACATGTTCGATTTTGCTTTGTTAAAATCAAACATAACTTTACCAGCTTCAAAGTAGTTTCGTATGTTTACGAGCACATTATCCGCCTCTCCGATGACCTCCAGAAATTTGCCCGTTGCGTTGCATTTTTTGCTCGCCGCCTTCTCTACTGCCGTCTTTATTGCGTTCTTTCTGTTTATTTCAAAGGATCTGAGTCTGTCCAGCAACTGGTCAAAATTTTTACTCGTCGGTGTTGGAGTTGGCTGCAAGTAGTTAGAGTATAGACTGATAAGATTCAAATACTTGAGTATAATGTCACATGGCTCTTGTTCTACAAACTATGCACGTGCATTAAGTACAATTAAATTGTCAATTTTCACAGAAATCTGTATATACCGTGTTAAAGATAAATTTTTAAGCCATGTTCAGCTTATGATGACGCGGTATCATTTTTTCCAAATGAATTGTTACATTGGACGTATTTCTGTGAAACGGAACTATGTGCATTAAGACTTGAGCCCTGAGACTCTTAAGACTATATGCATAACGGGGCTCACGCCATAATGCACATAGTTCCGTTTGATAGAAATACGTCCAATTAATTTGGAAAAAAATAAAATTGCACGTATAAAAAATGATTAGGCAACCTGAAAATGATTTCCAGGTGCAGCGGCCCGATTATTGAAACTATGTTGGCAGGACAAGACCTGACATGGCCCTATCTTAACCATGTAATATATCGAATTTCTATGTCTAATCGGACTGGCTTTAAATTTTCGACAATCAGCCCGCTTGCTTGAAACGACTGCAAGTTTTAATTGAACATTTAGTGGATACTACTTTAAGTATTTTCTTACGTTTTTATATCTTTTGATTTTTTATCGTTCGAGTCATCATTATTTCCACAGCATAGGTGCTACCCGAGCATCGGCTACAAAGAAGTTAAATTTTTCCTGATTCAGTTCAAGTAAGTATAAAACTATGAATGTCACTTAAATTGCACTCTTCAAACCATGCGATATGCACAAAGCTTTGCTTAAAACTTTTGTTTCTCGCGAAAACCTTATGAGTGGGGCTTGGAAGTTGAGGCGCATAAGTGCATTTTTTTCAAAAATCTAGATCTTAATTATTGCCAGTCAACCTCTTAATGCATATTCTGTGAAAAACTCGCTCCTGAATTCCAATTTTTAAGCATCAAAAAGTCAGATTGAACTTTTTTTCCGCCCAAAGGATCCGTATAATCTCGAAACTTCAAACACGTATTTCACGAAATAGCAACAACTGCACTTGTGTGCCTTGTCCTCCAAGTCCTGCAGATAAGGTTACATCTTCCATCCCTATTCAGCGTACAGATACTTAAAAACCATAAAGAGATAGCTAAAACATAACCTAACTTTTGATTTTAAGGTGAGATTATTATAATTTGTTTTAAGTATTGCCAAGAAGTATTGAGCATTTTTCAAGAATTTTCTTACTTGCTTAATTCTTTTCAGAGTTTTTCAAAACAGAATCCGTCACTACTTACACTTACCGTAGCCTCAGTGGCTGTAAGAATCAACGAGATGGAACAGACTAAAGTTGCGCTCATACTTCTGATACACGTGTAATTGTAGATACGGAAAAATTAAGTAAAACGTAAGCATAGTTTGATCTCATCAAGAACAATCTGATACGCCAGAATGGTCATAGACATCGAGCTATGCACTTCAATACAACATTGTCATCGGGAATTTTCTTGTCGGATAAGCGAGTGAGTGTGTCTCGTCCGTTACGTCAAACTGACGTCAAAGAGACGCCATACCAGTTTTTCCTGTTAGGCAGTGTGATATGTCAGATGGACGAAATCGTTCTGACTTACTTTTTCCGGGGATTTCAATGGAGAAACAGGCATTGGCTTTCTCTTCAAGGAATAGACAAAAAAAAGGCAATTGAAAAAATGCAAAAGTACTATATTAAGACATGAAAAGGAAGATACCGTTTTCCGACTGCTAAATACATTTTTTAAAAAATATAATACAGTAGAATAAAAAGTACAAAAAAAGTAAACTAAGATAAAAAAAATCGTCTTCACCTTTCAAGCGGGTTCGAAGAACATCCGAATATACTAATGATTTTTATGCCCTTAACTAGGCTCTCAAATATCAAAATTGCAACAAGGAAATAATGGAATGCCCCTTCATATTCCAATGGCATACAATTTGAGCTACACAGAAGCTGAAATAATTGTATCACACATTTAGTTCTTAGCATTCGGTTTGATTGGATGATCATGCATTTAGGATGCACTAGCATATCGTCACTGTATCAGAAATAATCAGAGAAGATCGCTATGTTGCTGAGGTTTCCTTCACCGAAAAAAAAGAGAAAGAAAACTGAATGAGGCAAAAAATGAGATTTCCTAGGTCAGAAAAAACGACAATTGGACAAATTTCTGCCGAACGGAACTATATGCATTATGACGTGAACCTTGTTATGCACATATTCTTATGGGTCTGAGGGCTCATGTCATAATGCACACAGTTCCGTTTGGCAGAAATACGTCAAATTGTTTAACAACAGCAATTATTGGAACCATCCGGTCTCCCTAAGTATAATGGAAATAAAATATATTTCAATGAACCTAACAAAAAAGGAAGAGCAGAAAATATACATCTCGATGAAATTAAATTTTGAGCTATGTAAAAATTGAACATAGAATTTCGATATTCTTCAAACGACAACAAAATGCCAGAATGAACATTGTGGTTCAAACAAAATTTTAATAATTAGGGAAACGTATATTTCCAGTGAAACCGTTTGCCGATTTTTACCAATAAATTCAGTGGGTAGTTAATATGAAGCAGTTACTGTATTTTCAACAATCTCTCTCTTTAATTTGAATCTGCTGAATATTTCTCCATCCAACTAAAACCGATCTCATAGTTTTAGAATACATACTTTGTACAGAAAATTGATGATAGTACTAAAGGCTGCACTCGTAATATTTGAACTCGTAACTGCAACCCCGTAGACAAAACGTTTAGTACCGTGGTCCTACGGATCCGTAAGTTCCATTCCCTCCATAAACTTTTTCGTGATTGGAATTAGCGCTTGGTCACTTTTATTCAGAATGTTGATTACTGGCCTCATCATGGCGCTCTCATCCGTTGCTAAATCTTCCATTTGAGCCTCTAAAGTTTTAATGTTTGCAGCCAGCTGCATCAATTTCATTTGTAAATAATCCTCAATTTGAAGGATCTGTGTTCTCTAAAAAAGGAAACAAATTAAAGGGAATAATAATTGACTGTACAACTGAACTGTAAAATATAACTGAACACAGTTTTTCAGGCGCAAAATAAATTCTTTCTTTTGCCATGATGCACGGTGCCGGTATGCGTGCTTTTTTCTTTTCAAAATCGTGTTCTTGCAATGAGTAAGAGCGCTTGCTTATCAGTGCAATGTCTTGTTAAGTTAAGAGGGTAAATTGAAATAAGCTTGAATTTTTTGGAGCATTTCCTTTATTCACAATAAAATAGCTATATGAAAATTGAAGTTGGAAAATTACGTGGGATCTCGTAGTTTGAAAAATATTCCGTTTAAATATTCCGTTCTTTGAGCATTCCTTGAATTCGCGCGTCACAGCTAACGGGCTCAGTGGCGTGGCGTGAATTGCGATATATCGATTGCTATGTCATTTAAACCTATGGAAAAAGATCGATAAAGAGGGTGTTTGCAGCGAACACCTTAATAATAATCGATTCTTTAGCATAGGTTTAAAGGGCATAACAATCGATATATCGCAATTCACGCCACGCCACTGAACGAGCTGCTTTGTGATGTTTTTGCGTGGTTTGATGAGAGACACCCGAGAAGCTGCCTGAGTTGTCTTAAGATTTTGACTCTAATTTTTGGCGTCGGACCAAATACTGAGCGTGTCTGGTTTTGCAATATCAATATTTTGGAAAAAAGTTTGAAACTTGGGGGCGCCTGGATGAATTATCAACATCTGAACTTTTCCACTAATTTCAATTCATCATAACGATATTTGCGTCACGTATTGCACCAACGTAAGGAATTCTGCGTATTTAATAAAACGGTAGGTATAGAGACCTGAAGAAGGTATACTGGATCTTCTCAGCAAACCGTATACAAAGCTATGCCCGTCAATTACAAAATATGGTTCAGGATTGAATATTATAAGAAATTTAGGTTACACTTTTCTCGTATATCTTTCTCTATGCTGTTTGCTGAACAACAAACTTATCCTAACTAGATTATTTTTTTTTTTTTTTTTTTGAGAATATGTTTGGCTATATCTCGAATATTTCAAGGCAAAAATTAGCGTTTCTCTTACCGGACAAAAATCTGCGCCTGGCTTTACTATGCCTTTTTCGACGTCAAAGAAGAGCTTACCAGCATCGAAGTAGTTTCGAATTTTCACAAGTAACTCATCCGTTTCCCCTGCGATCTTCAAGAATATACTTGTTAAATTGCTCTTGTTGTTCTCTACTTTCTCAATCACTCCTCTTATCAAAGCCTTCCTGTCGGTCTCTAAGACTTTGAGTGACTCTAACAATTCGTCATAATTTTTGACATGTAATGCAGTAGGAGTTGGCTGCAAAAAATCAAAATTTTAACTACTTAAGTTCAAAATAAAGCATAAAACTATGAATTTTACGTAGGGTATATTTTTCAAACGACGTATATGAACACAATTTTAGATTGAAAAAAAAATTTTTTGGCAAAACTAGATAAGACGTCCAACAGTGCATTATTTCACCAAAAAACATTATCGTCGTATAATAATGCATTTAATAATTTTTTTGTAGTCATATTGGGGGTGAAAATGCAAAAACAAGAATCTCGTCCTATTTGTTACAAATCTTTGCTCTCACTTTTTTTTTATCAAAAGAGGACAAACCAACACAATTTTTGCTTGAAATTTTTTCTGCGCTACAGAACATTTTTCACACGGATAATACAAATCAGGGGAGCTTTCAAGAAATGACTTTGAGTGATATCCGTTCAGAAAATAAATTATGACAGTGACAGAAAGGTTATGGCGTTGCTACCAAATTTCGAGTTTTGGCAGTTTCACCAACAATATACCTACAAGTACTCTCACAATTTAGGAGACCCAAGTATACCCTAATACTTGGTTTCCAAGTGGCATTCTTACTTACTTCAAATATAGCTACAAAAGTGCTGGAAATGTGTCAAGTTTTTCTCACACTTGCTCAACTATATTCTCGAGGTTTTTTACTACACAAATCATCACTTTCAGTGTATTTTCCGAAGAAAATACACTATTTTTTCACTTACCGAGGCCTCAGTATATGCAAGGATCAATGCGGCAGAGCATACCAGATGAGCTGCAGTCATACTTTCAGTACAGGATTGAATGGGTAAGAAACAAATTAAAAGGAACAGGATTCGAGCTTATCAAAAACAATCAAATGCGCCCAAATTTACTGAAAAAAACAAGTCTCATTTCGAAGATGAAAAACAAATTGAAGCGTCGTTGTAACTCGGTTAATCTCTGTTGAACTCCTCCAAATGGACTACATTTTGCAATTAGGAACTTTAAATTGTGCCTCAGTTTAAAACCATCGTATGTACCATTAGTTTCTCTATCCAGATAAGTAATATTTTACAGATGGGTCGGAATTTATAGTTCTGAATTGCAAAATGAAGTCCAAATAGTCCTAGATGTAGATGATGAACACAACAATTCAACAATTTTACAGGGACTTAATTTTCTTTTTTTCTCGACAGTTTGACAACACAAGAATGTGTAAATGGACGGCGCCATGCGCGGTAGATTACTTGTTTTGGTAGCAGCTGAGCAAGAGCAGGTGAGGTTGACCTAATTCTGAGACTGTCAAACCTTAACTCTTTTATTTGAGTTCAATTCACCTGATTGTAGTGGTGTGGCTCGCTTTGCGATGTATCGATTCCTTCATTTAAACCTTTGGAAAACGATCGATTCGCAGGTACATTAAAAATCGATTCTTTACCATAGTTTCAAATAGGGAAATATCGATAATCGATCATTCACGCCTCGCCGCTGTCTGATGGCATGTGACATTAACCTTGAGCCAAAGGAGGATCTGAACTTGATGGCTACAAAAAAAAAAACCAAAAAAAATGAAAAATACTTTGAGCCCCTTTTGCTCACAATTTCCCCCTCGCCCTCTCCCCTCCTCTTCCTCGTCCCCGTTAGCCGGAGGGACCAACCGACATTTTCAGATCAAATTTCCGGGAGCAATCTTGGCACATAACGTCGCTCATCTGACGTAAGGGCGGATCCCTATTTCCACATGACTCGCGGTAGGGTGGCAAAATTTCATGAAAAAAATCTTGAAATTTCACGTGAAATTTTTCATGAAATTTTAGAAATTTATGAAAGATATTGAAAAATATAGATTCCTTTTTTATGTTTCGCAAAATGTGAAAATTGTGACTTTCTTCTATTTTTGTGTGTTTGAGTGCGGGTTGCATACTCTAGCCCCTGAAACTTATGAAATATTTCACAGCCTCGTGAAATTTCATGAAATATTTCACAACCTCGTGAAATTTCATGAAATATTTCACAGCCTCGTGAAACTTGAAATATTTCACTGAAATTTCCAATCTTTCATTTCTTTCTTACGTTTCATGCCACTCTGAAGCATCTAGTCATATAGAGCACAGGATTCAAGTGAAAATTGAGATAGGCCATTGCGCCAGAGGATCGACGATGAAGAGCCAAGGGGAGGAAAAAATGAGAAACCAAATAAGGGATTGGTTCGATTGATGCCGAACCGCTACTTTCGGCTAATATAGTTTTCGCCAATTCAACTTATCGGTTAAATTTTTTATAAAAAAAAAGCAGTCTGTGATTAATTTTTTCTTTCATTTCTTGCATCCTTTAGTTTAAAAAAAAAAAAAAAAACCCCATCATGATATTAATGACTGATAGGTATAAAAACTGTAAATTTTGAATTGATATTCATTGAGGGAAAGTGTAACACGACACCGCAGCCTATGATGTAATGTACGGTCATTATATCAACAAATTCAAATTTTCATAACGTAAGAAACTAGTTAAAACCTATCTTCCGATAGACCGAAAAGAAACCATGTTTACGCCAATCAACAACCTCAAATATCGAGTGACTTCTGATCTAGGGCTCAAGATGTAGATGCCCGCCCCCCCTCCCAAAGAGAAAAGAACCAAAAAAATTGCGCGCTAACATCTAGTTGAGTCAAAACTTACTCCATCACAAAATTTTGGGAACAGACACACTTGAATTTCAATCCTTTCTGAAATATTCCACATGCGTTAATTATCCTCTAGATTCAAAAAAACATCATCAATAGAGTCAGGGGAAAAAAGTTTGGAGCACTGATGTAAATTTGAATATTTGCAAAAATATTTCCAAAAACTTCGAAATGGTAGAAAAGAGCTCGGCTTGCTTGCCTCGAATGGCTCAAATAATGACAATAAAGCTTCTTTTTCCAATAAATTGAATATAAACAGATACAGATAATCCTGTTCTGTGGGACCGAGATGGCGCAGGTTATACAATTCAACGCCAGAGGCATGTAAAAACATTTCAAATTCGTGTAAGTGCCATGGAATATGTGTACTATGTTAAAACAATATTTCCATTTTTTCTAGTAAAAATCCTCAATACTGATGTCCATTACGCGAATGCGAATCTATGACGCTCGAAACTCACTTAGTACGCAGCAACTAGCATTTTCTGATGACCTTTAGGCCCCATTTTGAAGATGAAAAAAGACCTTCGGTCAAGGTCCTTGCTGTCAACCGCCCTCTCTCAACATCTCCACGTCAGGTAAATAATGGATACAGAAAAATGAGTGACAACCCTTTTAAATGAGTTGTCGAGATGTACCCCTCTGAGTAAATTAAAAACAAAAAATTTTAGAACTTCATGGCATCATTAGGCGGTCTTTCCAATTAAAGCACATGGATTTTAGCAGCGTGGATTATTCAGTCATAACTCCTTCAATAAATGTTCAATCAAGAAATCAAGGATATTTTCAGCTCAGTTCACGCAGTACCCACCCAAAGTAGTTTCCTCTGAATCTGTGAATCGCGCTTATTGCATGGCAGTCTTTTGCAATTTAGTGGCGTCACTTTTAAATTTTGTTGCGATCGGAGCCAACGCTTGCTCACTCTGCCTAATAGCAGCGATTGCTGGTAGCAGCTTGGTTAGCGTCTCCGTGGGTATATCTAACACTTGAGCATCTAAAGTTCTGAGGGTTGCAGACAGTCTAAGCATTTGATTCTGCAAGTAATCTTCTTCCCGCAGGGGCTGGGTTTTCTGGAAAGAAAATGAAAAAAACTCGTCTGATAATTAAACATATTACATTTAGCTCATGCCCCCTCCTCTCCCCTTGAGCATTAAGTAACTTATGAACGCTCCCTAAAATTATGAATCCGAATCCTGAAGGACGCAACTTTTTTACCCATAAACGTAAGAAGTCTCTTAGACAGTTTTAATTTTTTCACCTCTCTTGAAGAAAAAAAAATGTGCTTTGTCTGCATATAATCATTGCGTTTCCTTTTTAAAACATGCTACCAATGTGACAGATTTACTAGGTATTGCAGTTTTCATACCCTGCTAAAAATGGCCGATGGAGCAGTTTCGATATTTCAGTTAAACAATCACTTTCAATACTGATTTGAGCCGACATCAGTAGAAGATTCAGCTGATGTCACATTTGAAGCCAGTGGAAAATGTACTTTTTTAAAGGCATTTTGACCCTACCCTTAAAGTCATATTTATCAGGGTATTTGTACAGGGCTTATGCCCAGAGTGTGTTATTTCCTGGGCAATCCGTGGACATTGTCATTTCCGAGCATCCAATCGGAAAAATAGAGGTGCACTTACTATGATTAAATCTGCTGGTTGGATCTTTGATTTTCCTTTGTGGAGATCGAGCATGATCTTACCAGCCTCAAAATAATGTCGTAGTTTCACTAGGACTTTATCCGCTTCTCCGATAAACTTTAGGACTTTGCCAGTTTCATTAGACTTTTGGTTCGCTGCCTCCGCCACCACCTTCTTTAATACAGACTCTCTGTCACTCTCTAAGGCTATGAGTGCATCTAGCAATTCGTCATAACTTTTGCTCTGCGGTGAAGTCGTCGGCTGTAAAAAAATGGAAAAGATAAAAAAAAGTTCCAGTAAAAGTAAGTTCATATGACTCGCTATTTCTGAACAACGAATGCGTAACATTTTAACATGGAAGTTTCGTTGTTCTTTTAAAACCATAATATAGTCTCTAAGATAATGTTTTTCATGACTGTTCTGCGTTTGTAATTCATTCGGGGAAAATAATTTCGGCAGGGACCTAACATACCCTGGTAAAAATTGGCGATAGGAGCTGCGTTTCAAAATACCATAGGAGTTCTTATAGCCGACTAAAGAGGGCGATAGAAAATCATATAGCTGGTTGTAGAAAGTGGAAAAAATCTTACGGCCGAGCTACACGAAGCGATAAAAAATTATACAGCCGGGCTATAGTTCCCATCGCCGGGCTTTACATTTTATCGCCTGGCTGTTGCTTTTTCGCCATCGGCTGTAAAAGGCTATAAGAAACTGTGTAGAAATTCGTGTGCTTTGTAAATCCTTAAGTTTGTACGGAATCACCTTAATATTTACAAAACGGACATTATATTTTCCTTTACTGCATATTTTTTTTCATCAATTAAAATGAGAATAATCCATACAGAGTGTGCAAACATTTCAAAGTCATGAGTTGAAAAACGCTGACTCCACGAGATTAAATATTAGAGCCTAACACAAAGCGAAGCGGCGCTGCGGCGCACTGGCGCCTTCAAACCTAACAGGGATACTTCACGCAATGCGCAATGCGTGAAGTATCCCTGTTAGGTTTGAAGGCGCCAATGCGAGTTTCGAGCTGGCTGCCCGCCCGCCGCAGCGCACCACGGCGCTTGAAGCAACTGTTTCACACCAGAGGTATTGCACAGTATCATACAAAATTGCAGGCGCTCCAACATGTTAGAAATGGCAGGCATCCTTCAAAAGTACGGAGCTTTCCTCGCAAAATAAATCAAGATACCACGGCCCAAAAAGAGAGCGGTAGTCCAAAAACTCACTAAGTCCTAGCATCTAGCATCCATAATTAGTAACGTTTAGCATGAACTTTATCGTCTGGCTGTTGCTTAGTCGCCATCGGCTATAAAAGGCCATAAGAAATTGTGTTGCCGGCTATAGAAGCTATTGGAAATCTTACAGCCGGCTGTAGGTCTATGGTACTTTGGAACACAGATTCTACTGCCAATTTTTACCAGGGTAATCTTTAAAAAATGGTAAAAACACATTTTTTGTCTATTTATAATTTTTGGGGAAAAACACATTTCTTTCACCGAAAAAAGTGATTCTTGAGATATTATTTTCACTTAAAGAGTAGTTTCTTGTCAACCTAATTTTTTTTTTTTTTTTTTTTTTTTTTTTTTTTTTGTAGTTAAATCCGTGCGAATTTGACTTACAGTTAGATTTTTTAAGTTAAAGAAACATTCTTTTGCTATCTTTATTTTAACTTAAACTTAACGATGACTAAACGACGCTTTATTAACTAAAAAAAACTGACTGACTGGTTAAATCCGCACGGATTTAACTTTAATTTTATCGACAAGTCAAGGAAAAAAATTTTCGGTGTTGAGTACTACGGTTTTACTACTTGAATATGTTCTGATTTTTTTATTGCATAGGTCATCACTATTTGCACTTACCGAGCCCTCAATAGATGCAAAGATCAATGCAATGGAGCATACCAAAGCTGCAATCATACTTTTGATGCACGTATTTTAGGTTAGGAACAAGAGAAGTAAAACATAAGCATGGTTCGAGCTTATCACAAACAATCATCTGAAACAACCACGTGGTTGTAGATGCCGAGCTGAACGCATCAACATAAAGGTTCAGTTACACGATCAAATTGAGCCATCAAACTGAAGCTCTGATTGGTGGAAAAAGACCTGAGGTGAGGATGCGACTAATGAGAGGCCCAATTTGATGGCTCAATTTGATCGTGTAACTGGACCTTAACATGAAGCTAATTTTATTTAAAGTTCCGAACATCTTTCTACCAGTGGTGATTGATGAGACAAACCGAAATCGCACCAACAACATAGTGGACACCACCGTTGCTTCCAGATTGGTCCAATGAGATCCGTTGGTTTTCGATGGATCGAATCTTTTTAAAGCCCTGGATAGACGATCAAATTCCCGAACCGATTCCGATCAAAGTAGCATCAAAGTGTCGGGAGTCATCAGTTCTAAACTCATTAATTTGCTTCATTTTAATATGAAAACTTGACAGAAATGTTTCCTGTGGCAGGAAATGATGAATGGTGGCACTCCATTCTGATCTTATTTTGAACAAATAAGTGCGGCCGTCAAAATTTGATGGTAGATGGTGACCATCAGTCATCAGCATGCCTACTTTGATCGGAATTAGTTCGGAATTTGATCGTCTATCCAGGGCTTTAGAAGCAGCTTGCGAGACGGTACCAAAACCACGCACCAACGTTGCGATTCGTTAGTCACCAAATTGGAAGTTCGGAATTCAAATAAAATGACTGCTCGGAGGTTTGGGCGCAAAAGTAGTGCCGAACCTCTGAATAAAATTCGTTTAATGTGTCTGGGAATGATTTATTCCTTTTCGTTAATGTGTAAGCGCACATGTTTAAATGATTTCAAAAGTTTGAAGGAGCGCACGATTAAATCTGTTTTTCCCTAGATGTATCTTTTCCTTCAAGGATTATTTGGACTACATTTTGCGATTTGGAACTATGAATTCTAGCCCGGTTCCAAAAAAACGTATGTGCCATTAGTTTCCCTATGCACATAAGTGTTTTTCCAAAAGAGCCAGAGGAAATGCTTCCAAACTGCAAAATGCAGCCCATTTGATTTACATTGAAAGTTAGGAGGGCTTGGGTAAACATTTGTACCAGTATCACTTAAAGGACGGTATGTATAAATTTCAAACTCTTGCAATTGAGTCTGAATTCCTAGACTCGTCTGGAATAATGTTTCTTTTAGATTTTCGATCACTGCAATTACACCAAAAATCATTCCCAAATTAATTAAATGAAAAAGACAGAAATAGAGGAATGAAAATGATTATTTTAATGAAAGGCAATTTTGAACAGTGTGAGTATTGAAAACGAAACTGTAAATTCAAAGGTCTCTAAAAGCAAAATAACAACGGACAATTTTTTTCTCTATATAATTTCTGGTTCCGTTGAATTAATTCCAATCGACAGTAGAAGTTATGAAAGTCTTCATAATATCCAAAGACGTAAATAAAAAGTCATATATTACCGATTTCTTCCATCCGCTCTCTTTTCTTTTTTAAGGCTCTTTCTTCATTTCAGCCACATCAATTCTAAACTGTCTTGTGATTTGAACTAGTACATTTTCACTCTTCCGAAAAGCGTTGATTAGTTGCAGTGGTATGCTACACTCATCTTCACATAGATCATTCATGAGCGCCTCTAAAGTTTTAAGGCTCACGGACAACCTAATAATTTGATCGGGGAGGTAATTCTCAACTTTTAGGAGGTACGTTTTCTAAAACAGATAGGAGAAAAGATATTTAAACTAATGAGCAATAAAGCATAAATGGACACATACCGATGGAAAAAGTACGACACAACGTATTTCCATTGCAGTGTTTCAAAATCTCCACCTCTTTTTTATTTTTTTAAAGAAGAACAAGTCAGCTTTATAGCTTGAAATTCATACAGAATATGCTGCTGGTAGGGAAGAGAAATCAAGGAAGTTTTCAAGGATTTACGTTGACAAGTTTACCGAGGAAAAAATAAAGTATGACTGGAAGTCTACAACATCGCAAACGGAGATACTTGGTCTCGCACGTTGCCCAAGAATATGAAATAATATGTTGACAAGTTGAATAAAATAAAAAGAAAATTGGTCGTGGGCAGTAACATCAAACAAGATTGAATGTCAGGTCTTGTCCGTGAGTCAACCGATAAGAGTTAATTATCTCCTCCATTTTGTGGATATGCAATTTTACCTCCTTGGATGTCGGAAAAGTTGTATCACGCGTCTCGCTCCATCCAAAATTTCTATTCTACCTTCTTTCGTCTCTTTATTATCCATAAGTCAGCAGAAGAGAGACCAATTTTTTATTCAGTGTTGTGGAAATGCATGCGAGAAAGTTTTGTTGCTTCATAAGTACACATTTTTATGATAAAAAGAACCATGTGCATAAAATTTACGTACAACAGCTATAATGCATCCAATTGTGACCGGATCTATGAGAGGGAACCTCATCCTTCTAAAGAGAATGGACCACTAGACAAGGTACGAATTTCAGCATTCTGATACATTCTTCTCAACTAAAATTTCACGTAGAACACGATGCGCCCAACGAAAATTACCGAAATCAACTCCTTACGAAGATATTCAATAATTCTCGATGCGTGAATTCAAACCACCCGCTCATGAAAACTCAATGCTCTACGTGATACACATCGCGCTAAACGTTTATCGTGACAGTCTCTGCGTTATAAAAATCTGGCAACCTCAATCTTGACACTTTGGCTCAGCTATAGCAAATTGCTTATAGTTGGAACAACACATGGTGGTAAATGAACATTGCTCGATTGAGAAGCTTGCTGAAACCGTTGCAGTGCGCGATTTGACTCACGTAGAGCTTTGAGTTTCTTGAGAGCGGGCAGTTCAAATTCCTCTTAGCCAATGTGAAATAAAAATGTTAATATCTCCGTTAGGAGTTGGTTCCAGTAATTTTCGTTGCGCGAATCGTGTTTTACGTGAAATTCTGGTTAAGATTCATGTATCAGAATGCTTAAATTCGTACCTTGTCTAGTGGTCCATTCCCGAAACTTTGAACTCAGCGCAAACACGATCGCGAGAAGCGCCTGCAAAACTGCAAGAATACTTCAAGCATCGCGCAGTTTCCCTGAGCCCGCCGAAAACCCGTTCTGTATATCTCTGCTCTGGACTTGTAGGTGGATGACGTCATAATTCGAATTTTTCGAAGCGCGATATCTCAGTTAATATCGACCGTAGAGAGTTGCTGTTTAGACAGAGCTTATTATTATTCACTGATCTACAAGCATCAACCAAAACACGATTCTAAGATCAGCGCAACTGACCCATTGGAATGATAGATATCGACGGTGTAAGCCGTCAATCACATAACTCAGTTTGCGACGTCGCAGACTTCCTGTTATACTTTATTTTTTAAAAGGAAAACCACTCAACGGCAATTATTTAAAACTGCTGTGATTTTTCTTCTCTATGCGAAGAAAATTCTGCAAAAACTTCCGGAATGAAGTCAATTTGTTTCCCTTTAAAAAAATAACATGGAGGCGAAGATTTTCAGAGATATGCGATTGCCAACTCACACCGTCTATATGAATCAAAAAATAATAGCATAGGTATATCCTATGCCACTAGCAATCAACGATTAGCTCAAATGAGCTCATCTTATGAGCTTCATGCATTTGAGGTAAATAATAGCTTGATCTTACCGCAGCTACATCTGCTTTCTGGATGCTGGAGTTGCCTTTGTTTATGTCGAACATGTTCTTACCAGCATCGAAGTAAAGTCGTATGTTAACGAGCGCTTCATCTGCCTCTGCCACAGTCTGCATAAATTTGTTCATTGCACTACTTTTCTTTCTCTCTGCCTCATCTGCCACTTTTACGATAACGGCCCTTCTGTTGATCTCCGCCTCTGTGAGCTCATGTAGTAACTCGTCGTAACTTTCGCTCTGCGGGACAGGTGTTGACTGAAAGAAGTCGGAATTTCAGACGATTTAGTTTTAGTATAGAACGTCACAGCGTGCATTTTTCAAACTACACGTCAATGGTGAAACTACGAAACCACGTATCTCGGTTTGCGACGTCGCAGACTTCCTGTCGTACTTAATTTAAAACATCATTCAGCGGNGGGGGGGGGGGGGGGGGGGGGGGATCAGGGGTCTTTGCGAGCAAGTCACCACAACATCAGAAATAATTTACTCGATCGAATGGTTATGGTAGGAGAAAATAAATGAGGCGAAAAAGTGAAATTTCCTGAATCGGATCCTTTACATCCGTTTTTTCCTGAAATGTCTCCTTTGTTTCAACAGGATGCGGAAACACCCTATGGAACGGAGTTCCATTCCATCAATATCATTAGATGTGAAAGTCCGTGGTCAGGCTGCTGAAGTGCTGAAATCGTAAATAAAACTCACATTTCAACGATTTACTCGGCTCCTTTTTTTATTTTGTCACCGTCAATTCCAAACTTGCTCGTGATGGGAACCAGTGCTTGCTCACTTCGCCTAAGGGCAGTAATTACTTCCCGTAACGTGCTACTCCTACACTCGTCCGGAGTTAGATAGTTCATTTGCGCCTCTAAAGTTGTAAGGCTTGCGGACATCCGAATCATTTGATTGGGCACGTAATTTTTATCTTGAAGGAGTTGTATTTTCTAAAACAAATGTAGGTGTGAAGTTATTGCAGTGACGGACAATTAGGTAACTGGATATTTTACAGGGGGAAAAGTTTCATTTATTTGTTTTGACGCTTGTTTTCTTTTCCATTTGTAATCACTCCATTTGTAAAAGAAACGATGGTTTTTTTAAACGGTGCTCTAAAGCGCAAATTCCCAAAAGTGAGAAATGTATAGGCCATAATAACGCGAAGGAAGAGTGCGTCGAGACTCATCCAAAAAGCGAAAATACCTATAGTGAAAGAAAACTTAAAAAGAACATATACTTAAACTAATGCTTTAACTAGTATTATGTGCGGTGAAATCTAGACCGGCTGTGAGGATTGATCCATGAAAGTGTTGTACTTCAACGTCAAAAGTATTTTTCCATGAGGGGGAATTATCCAAACAAGTCGCAACACGTTAAAGCGCCTAGATGCAACTATTCGAGCTCCACGGATGTCCCGGTTGCATATTCACGGAGTTGAAGGCGTTTTGACAATCTAGGCACTTATCTTCACCTGCGACGCGGCGTAACAGCGCTGCGGCGGGCTAGACTGCCGTGCTTAGGAAATCGCCGTATGAACATCCAAGAGTTGCCAAATTTCATTCAATAAAATGTTTACTTATGAGGGAAGATATGAATATTTTTCCTTGAAATTCTCAGAGTCTTCATGTGAGATTGCGAATAAATTTATATGGAAAATTGGAAGGAGAATATTTGTAAGTTAACCAGGAAATTCGTGTTTCATGAAAGGAAATTTGGCAACGCCTGAAAGTTCATACGGCGTTTTTCCTTAGCACGACAGTATACTGCGAGGATCCAATTTGATAGAATGCATTCAATTCTTCGATCATGACAATGTCTCTGAGGCACAAATAGTTACTCTGCAATCATTCCCAGCACATCACGAAATCAAAGCAGAATCACAAAAGGTATTCACATTCTACGCGTGTGTTCAACTTTTTCTGTTTAAGAGGTGTCTGTAGTTTAAACGAAGAATTGAATGCTCTCATTGAGGATCCTTGCCGGACAGCCCACCGCCGCGCCGAGCCGCGTTGAGGGTGATGTGGTGATTATATGAAGAGTCAAAACGCCTTCATCTCCGTGTTTATGCAACACGGGCATCCATAGAGCCCGAATAGTTGCATCTAGGCGTTATAATGAAATTCGTTTAGTGTTTGTCGCGTGTGATACTAATTGCGGTTGCTTTGCTTGGTTCTCTTGCGCCTTAACTTAAGTGCTTGTGGTGCCGGTGAAGTAAACTGGTACTAATTTTTACCGCGACAAGTTTCCAAACAATACTTCTAATTATTAATACCTTGTCTTAAAGCTTATTGTTACTGAAAGTCTGATTTGAAAAACAGAGCTTTCTGTGAAAATTTCGAAGGAAGAACTCTGTATCCAAGCACCCTAGGCCATCTACTCAGGTACATCACGTTAGTCTTGAATGTACGGTAGAACTATGAAACCCGCCTATACACGACAAAATTCATTCATTTATTAAATAGATAAACTCTTATGTCTGGAAAAAAAATGTCTTCTTTTTCCCGCTGTTTGCGCTCGACAATAGTTCTGGTGAAGTCTTCCCAGCTTTGTAAACTGAAGACGAAAATAAAGTTGCTCTTACCGCATCTACATCTGCTTGTTGTGCGTTCAATTTCCCTTCGTTGACGTCGAACACAGTCTTACCAGCGTCGAAGTAAAGTCGCATGTTTACGAGCGCCTCATCCACCTTTTTCACTGTCTCCAGAAATTTGCCCATTGCATCACTTTTTTTGTTCTCAGCCTCCTTCTCTGCTTTTTTCATTGCGGTCCTTCTGTCGTTTTCCGCAGCTATGACTTCATCTAGCAACGCATCGTAACTTTGGCTCGGCGGAGCAGGAATGGTCTGAAAAACGTTTGAATATCCGCTGACCAGGTTTAATGTAGTGTGAGTGTCATATTCCATTACTGTGTTGTAGCATACTGCACTATTTTTCTAACACTTTATCGGCACTATGGGCACTTTTTTCTATGCAAATTAAAATTTTTTCAAAAACCGATTATACTTAGATGACTTACTTTTTTATTATTCTTTACGCACAATGGTCATTGTGCGTAAAGAATAATAAAAAAGTAAGTCATCTAAGTATAGTCGGTTATTGAAAAAATTTTAATTTATATAGGAAAAAGTAAAATTCCATCACGCGTATTTTCCAAGCTACACGAGCGCACCAAATTTAACAATAGCACCTCGGTTTTACGTCAAGGCGTGAAAATATTGTCTCATGATCATAACACATAAACATGATGTTGAAACATAAATGAAAACAGATTTACAGGTTCCTGTTGGGTACTTGTTAAAAGTTTCAAAAAGGCTGAAATATTGGTGGGATGGAAATTTTGACACTTCTCTGATTTTTTTTCTTGTTAGTAGATAACGAAGCGACTGTAACCACTCCCAAGAGACTTTTAAGCCACTTACCTCGTTTGTAGTGTTTTGAAATCTACACTCTCATTTTAATTTTTTGATAAACAGTACATCAATATCATTTCTTGAATTTCTACAGAATTTTCTTCCCACGGAGAGGAAAAACTCACGACAGTATCAGAGCATGGACTTTGAGTAGTTGAAAACTAAATTACGACAGGAAGTCTACAACGTCGCGCGGGTAGTAGCCGGTTAAGGAGTTTTACCGTCGCGGTGCATTTATGTAATGAAGTCGGGCAAAAGGACCTTTGAAGAGGAAGCGCAAACTTTTTTTCTTAAGAAACGCTTCTTAAGAATACGAGCAAAAAATCAAAGTCATGATTCCCATTGTTAAGGATTTAAGCGATTAAAATCGTTTTTAAAGCAGGCAGCAGCGCCTGCAAATTACATCCGTGTTTTCATGTTCGCGAGTTATCTATTTCTGATTTTGATATGATTTTGTGGGATAAATGTTTGACTGGTTTTTTAGATTAAATCATGCAGGAATTCAATCAATAATGCTGGCTCAATGCTATCTCAATTTTATTTTATTTCATTTGTTTTCATTTTTGTACAGCCCCTCTACCTACATGCATCACATATTTTGAAATAAGTAATCTCTATAGTTATCACTTTTTTACTTACGAAGACCTCGATAGATGTATAAATCATCAAGATAGAGCACACCAAAGCAGCAGTCATGCTTTTGGTACACGGGTTAAGACAGGCAGGGAAAAAATTAGGTTAGGCAAAGGTTTAGTTTGAAGTTATCAAAGTAATCTGATACGCTCCGGGCACGTTAATCCATCAATATGTCATTGTTGCCGGAAATTTTTGTGAGCGCGCGCGTGCGTGCGGCACGGCTGTGAGAGTGCTCATACTTGTGTGTGATTGCTTCATTGGAAATAAATGTATAAGGCACGAAGCCTCTATGGCTAAGGGGCCGTCGAACTAGAGTAATGTATTTACGGCTTGTTGAGATTTAAATTTATGTTGTATCAAAGCAGAAATGGATAAAATTTTAAACTTTATCGAATATCATTATTTGAATTATTATTGTAAATTTTTAAAATAAAGAAGCATTTACTCCTAAAATTGCTCCGTAATCGTTTTTACACATGTTTATACGTATGTCGATTAAAAGAAGTTACGACGCCAGTCTAATGTCATAGTGACATCCATTGTATTTTCTATTAAGTAATGTGACAGCAGTGTGATTGTGATATCCATCAAGCACCTTGGCGTCGCACTGGTTGAACTAACATCAGAGTGCGACATGCAGCTTTATTCTATTAAAGAGAGTGATGCCTGACTGACAAGGTCTTAATATCAAAAATGCAAAAATAATGTATTTTTATTTATAAAAAATAGGACGGGAGCTACTGTTGTTTTTTAGCTGCGAAATGCCATTCCATCGAAAATAAAAATAAAATTTCTGAGAGAGAATGTATACCAAAAAAAGTATAATTAAAGTACCGAGAGGTCGAAAAAATTATCTCCAATTTTCTGATTCGAAGAACAGCCGCTTCCACGAATTACAATTATTCCGCTCTCACATATCAGACTGCTCGTGTGACCAATTTAAGTCTCCTTCATATTTCAGTGATATGCAATTTGTGCTACAGTAGAGTCGAAAGAATCGTATCACGCATTTTGCTCTCAGTGCGCGGGTTTTATGGGAGGGGAGATTCTGTATTCAAATCTATGTGTAAGACTTGCTAGGATACCGAGCTCAGTTAGACATTATTGGAAGAGATCGGAATGCTACTGCAGCTGCCTTTGCCGTGGAGAAAAGAGAAAATAAACCATGAATTATGCTCAAAAAAGAGACTCTCTGAGTCAGATTCGCTCCAAAACAACAGTTCTTTGATTACAAGGAGAAAAATGATATTGCTGATTTTAAAATTTTGTAGTTAAAAAAAGTGTCAAACCTGTTTCAATGTAGATTTTACGGTAAAAACATGATAATTCAACCACCCCCATGGTTAAATTAGCTTTCCATTATTGCAAATCTTACATTTTGAAACATTTCGGACATAGTTTTTAACAATTTAATTGTTAAGTAAGCAATCCATTTTTTCCTTGTATAGCATCTATAATTAGGACTCTGTGGTCATTTTATAATAAAAATATAATTCGATTAAATTAAAAAGACAAAAAAAGGAGCAGGAAAGTTAAATTTTAATGATGAACAATTCAATGCGACTTAAAAATTAAACATGGAAAAATACAAATTACCCCTTGAAACAAACTATCATCGAATGGAACCTAGTAACACACACTAAATTTGTATTGAATTATGGAGTCATATAAATTTCTGACCCAACCATTTGAAAATGTCTACTGATAAATTCAGTGTTCGATATTATTCAAACTTCAGTATATTTAGCATTCACCCCCTTCTCTGAGCATGTTGGGATATTTTCTCATCTGAATAATACCGATATCAAAATGGACCACTAGATAAGGTACGAATTTCAGCATTCTGATACGTGTTTCTTAACCAAAATTTTACGTAAAACACGATGCACACAACGAAAATTACCGAAATTAACTCCGTACGAAGATATTTAATGATTCTTAATGCGTGAATTCAAACCACCCGCTCATGAAAACACAATGCTCTACGTGATTCACATCGCGCGCTAAACGATATCATGACAGTCTCTGCGATATAAAAATCTGGCAACCTTAATCTTGACGCTTTGGCTCAGTTATAGCAAATTGCTAATAGTTTAAACAACACATGATGGGAAATGAACATTGCTCGATTGAGAAGCTTGCTGAAACCGTTGTAGTGGGCGATTTGACTCACGTAGAGTTTTGAGTTTCTTGTGAGCGGGCAGTTCAAATTCCTCGTAACCAATGTGAAATAAAAACGTTAATATCTTCGTTAGGAGTTGGTTTCCGTAATTTTCGTTGTGTGAATCGTTTTTCACGTGAAATTCTGGTTAGGAAACATGTATCAGATCGCTTAAATTCGTACCTTGTCTAGTGGTCCATTATAGGATGAAATTGTGCCCATATTGTCAATAATACTGATAATAGAGGAACGCAAACCTTAGTAAATAAAAATCTATGATTCAGAAATTCGTTGAGGATCGTTTAGTATCATGGCTTGCCACCTTGCATTTGCGTAGCCGTCTTCGCTAGGTCCTCCATGAACTGTTTTATGATCGGAACAAGAGCCTGATCACCCTCATTTAGCACGTTGATTAACGGCCTCAGTATGCCAACATCATTGGTCGCAAGGTCTTGCATTTGTGCCTCTAACGTTTTGAGGTTTGCAGACAGCTTAAGCATTTGATTGTGTAAGTAATCCTCGACTTTGAGGATCGATGTTCTCTATAACAGAAATTTAGAAAGAATGAGGTCACTACATTACCAAATATTGAGATATAATGTGGAGGCAGTTCTCCTGAAAAAAAAAAGTTTCCCTGTGTCTCTGCAATACTGCCGTGCTGAGGAAAAACGCCGTACAAACATTCGAGAGTTGCCAAATATCCCTGGATAAAACATGTATTTTTGAAAACATTCATGCACATTTTTCCTTGAAATTTTCAGATATTTTAGATTAAATTGCGTATAAAACGTTCTGAAATTTTTGGAAAATAATATTCACAATTTTCCCAGTGATTTCAGTTTTTATCGGAGGAAATTTGGCAACGGTTGAAGGCTCATACGGCGTTCTTCCTTAGCACGGCAGGATGAAGGATACCTCCTTCCTTCCTTTAAAAATCGTGATCTTGCAATATATGAGAGAACTGGCTACCTTCAACTAATGCACTGTCGTTTTAATTTTACAGGATACATTGGAAAGTATGGATTTTCTTAAGCATGAGCTTGCATAGACTCTGCTGTTTTAATTAAGTCTTCAATTTTCCTATAACATGTAGTATTAAGCAACATAGTCTAAGATCGTACATTAGCAAACCTATAGGCGAAATATCAGAAATTTTCTTTTCGGTCGGAATGGTAAGGCGAATTGGGCACTCTGTCATAAGACTAACAATAGTGCTTCCTACGGGAGGATATACTACTTAAATATCGAATCCATCAAAAACTCGATTACTTGATTCTGAACAATTTTGATTTCAATATCGTGACAAACTTACTGAATATCCTGTAAAGCTTGTTCTTCTCATGTGTCACAAAAACATTCCTGCCAATAAAAAAAGTGACAGGGATGTACTGCGATTCTAAGGAAAAATACCGTATGAACACCCCAAAGTTGATTAATTTCCTCTGATAAAACGTTAATTTTGGAAGGAAGTTATGCATATTTTCCCTTGACATTGTCAGATATTTTAGATTAAATTGCAAACATAATATTGTCTGAAAAATTGGAAGAAAAATATTCACAACTTTCCGAATTTAATTTAATTAGTATTTTATCAATAGAAATGTTGCAACATCCGAAGGTTCATACGACGTTTTTCCTTAGCACGGCAGGTGATATGGAATTTCGATATATTTTGTCTTTTTTCTCTATTTTGTTTACTGGTAACAAGAAACTGGTCCTAACTTGATTCTTTTGAGATTGCAGGATAGGACATGGTGTTGCTCTTACCTCACGAAAATCTGCTGGCATTTTTGCTACTCCTTTTCTGACGTCAAACATGACCTTACCAGCATCAAAATAGTATCGAATGCTCATAAGCACTTCATCTGTCTCCCTAATTGTATCCAGGAATTTGTCCGTAACATTAATGTTTTTGTTCTCAGCTGCTTTAATCACAGTATTTATTAGGTTCTTCCTATTGCTTTCTAAGCCAATGAGTGCATCTAGCAATTCGTCAAAACTCTTGGTTGGAGCTGGCTGCAAGAAGATGGTATTTTAACTGATTAAGAGTGTAAAATAATTGTAAGTAAATAACATGTGACTCAAATTTATTTCAAGTGAGTCTAAGATTCTGAATGCCACGTACACATCGCATTATTCGAATTACACATGCGCACAAAAGTGCACAGAAGAAGTTTTGTTCCTCACCAAAACGTAGTGATTCAGTGGTAGGTTCTCAAATGGTAGTTTTTATCATCCATACTCATAATCAGCATTTACTTGAAAATAAAAGAAGGACCCAAACATAATCTAAAACTTGCTTTTTAGGTTGCATGTTTGACTTGCTTTCAATACTGCTGCATAACAATTTGACGGTGAAACTGCAAAAATGCGTACCTACCTCGGTTGCAGCGTTCCGAAATCTCCGTTACTATTTTATTTTTTTAAAAAGAGACCGAACTAATACCATGGCTTGAAGTTTTCATGAAATATTGTCCATATAGAGAAGAAAAATCTTTGAAATTTTCAAAAAAAGACGTTCTGTAGTTTTCAATGTAGAAAATAAAGTATGACGGAGGTCTACAACGCAGCAAACTGAGATACGCATTTCTGCAGTTTCACCATCGAATTATCGTTTTCTGAGGCATCTTCTCACTTACACAACCATTTCGGAGTCCTCTTTCATCACATAAGTCATCAATATTTACACTTACCGAGGCCTCAATAGATACAAGGATCAACACGGTAGAGCATACCAAAGCTACTATCATACTTCTAGCTTGCACGAGTAGAACGAATCAACAGAAACAAGAGCTCAAGCTTATCAAAAACAATCTGATACAAGAAGTCATAAACGAAAGCAAAGAGCTGAGCAAATCAATCTGACAACATAGATGGGCATTACTAATTCTTTTTCTCTCTGCAATTTGACAACATATAGGTAAACGCACGATGCCATATGCGACAGATCCTTTCCTTTGACAGCAGCTAAACAGGTCACCTAATTCCGAACTTTCAAACCACAACAGTTTGTCACTTTGTTCATGCGTCTTCGGTTCACTTGCCCCCATGACCTCACTGCCGTGATAGCGAAGAGAGCAGTAAGGGTCAAATTTTCGAAATCGAGTTTCCTTCAAAATTTGTTTGATCTCTTTTAGATTAAATAACTATAGCAGCAAAATTCATCTTATTTTCATGGAAACGAGACATATGAGAAAGCCATAAGTGCGCAATTAATGACGGAGTTTCAGACAAGACAGCAGTAAGTGACAAAATTGCTCCAGAGAGCCAATGAAAACAGCGCTTTCAAGTGCCGCCGTCCTCTGCCGATATCCAACATGAAAACGTGTTTGATGTGTGTCCAAAACGCAACCACGAAAGCATGCAGAATAGCAAATATGTGACACTTACGGCTGTGTTGCTTAACACTAGCCTGACATGGAAATCAATACTAGGTAGCCTTTTTATGTAATTGAAATAAAATCGGTCGATTTTTCACCATCCAAACAAATTCTAAGAGTCTTTCGGAGGATTAGTGGCAAGTTGACAAAGAACGGAGGCTTCTTTGAATCAAATTTTTTGGTCAGATGCCTCTGAGCCCATTTTCTTGAAACTTCATTTTTGCACTTACTGCTCTCTTCGCTATCACGGCAGCTGAGGGGAAGAATTTTGTTGGTCCTTCCACCGTATTTAAATATACTTAGGACGAGTCTCGACTGGATTTAAGTCCGACTTAACGCCCCTGATTGGCCGGTGATGCGCTTTGGATTTATCGATGGATGTTGCGCCTCCATGTGAAGGTTCTATCATAAGGAATACAAAATAGAAAATGAAAAAACAAGTGGGGAAACCAATTGCTCAGAATACCCCTCACACAGCCTTTTGAGGAGATCAACCGGCATTTTCATGTGACATTTTCAGGGAATATTTCTATCTGACAAGAACCAGGAACAGGAAGAAATAAAAACATTAAATAGCGGTATTGGTTCAGTACGTAAGAAACCGATGGTTTCGACTCATGTTGTTTCCGGAAATTCAATTCATTCGTTAAATTTTTAATATGAAAAAAGCAGTCTTCGATTGAATTTTTTTTCATTTATTACATCTTTCTGTTACAAAAAACATCAAAATGTTGATAACTGATATAGGTGTAAAAACTGTAAATTTTAAATTTATGTTCATTACGGTACATTATAATATGCCGCCACGGCCAATTAGGTAACGTTTGGTCATTACATCAACAAATTCAAATTTTTATGACGTAAAAAACTATTTAAATCCTAACTGCCGATGGACCGAAAAAAATCATTTTTGAGTGACTTCTGATCTAGGGCTCAAAATTTAGATACCCCTCCCCCCTCTCCCAAAATGAAAAAACCCCAAAAAATACGCGTTCACATCTAGTTGAGTCATTACTTACTTTATCATAAAATTTTGGGAAATACAAAATTTTAATTTCAACCCTTTTTTATGAGAAAGCAAAATTACTAGTTTTTATCTCCTCTCAGAAATATTCTAAGTACATACGTTGATTATCCTCCAGTTTCCTAAAAAAAAAAAAAAAAAAAAAAAAAAAAAAAAAAAAAAAAAAAAAAAACATCATCAATAGAGTCAGAGGAAAAAAGTCTAGAGTACTAATGTAAATTGGAATATTTTCAAAAATATTTCCAAAAACTTCCGAACGACAGAATAGCTCTGCGATCCTCGAATGGCTCAAATAATGACAATCGAGCCTTTTTCCCAAGCCTACAAATAGGTACAGATAGTACTAGTATTTTTTTTGGGACCTAGTTGTCACATTCACATGTTGTACAGTAAAACGCCAGAGGCATGTAAAAGCATTTCTTTGTATAAGTGTCATGGAATATGCGTACTATGTTAGACCAATTTTACCATTTTTTCCCACAAAAATTTTCAATACTAATGTCCATTTGAAACACGAGTCTATGACGTTCGTGACTGGCTTAATACGCAGCAACTTTTTTTTCTGATGACCTTTAGGCCGTTTTTTGAAGATGAAAAAAGACCTCCGGTCAAGGTCCTTGCTGTCAAGCGCCCTCTCTCAATAGCTCCACGTCAGGCGAGTAATGGACACAGAAGTATGAATGACAACCCTTTCAGATGGGTTGACAAGATGTGTCTTTTTGAGTACATTAGCATCATCTCTTTTAAGCATTGCGTACATTGTCAGGGGCGACTCCTGTCCCACATCTTTTCGGAGGAGTGTTTTCCATTTCGCTGTAATAACTGTTAGTCACCGCCAGAAAATACAAAGTCAGCACTGGAACATCAAAAAACGGAAATGAACTAAAAAATGAACGTAAAAAGAGGAAAACTGGATCTGACATAGACCAACCTCATAATGTGCCGAACAACGGAAAGGCTTTATTTCTATAATAATTATGTTATAAAACATCAGACAAAATCAGGCAACCTCAAGTAAAGTTTGGCTGATTACATTTAAATCGACGTGGCAACCAGCCCATAGAGAATTAACTTGGATACATCTCTTTTTTGGGAATCATCGATGAAGAAAAACGCCAGCTTTGCATAAATGTATTCTCTAAAATCCGTGCATGATTTCATTCCGGCGGCGTAACTACAAAAACATGTACCTTGATTGCGGATTTTCGTAATTTACGCATTCATTTTGTTTTTGTAGGAAGTATCCCCATGTATTTTTTTTTTTTACTATAAATCTTCAGGAAATATTCTTAAATCGCAAGGAAAATCATAATAAAACTTATTGTTAGCTGCAAAAGTGAAATAAACATCATTGAAAATGCCGCACGAAATCCGCGTGAGAAAAATGATTGTTTCTCATGAAACTGCTTGAAAAGCAGATTTCTTAGTATTTTTTACCATTTTTCCCCAGAAATTGGCAAAGACGGTTTTAAAAATGAAACAATGTAGCGCTTTATGACATCATTAAGTAGTATTTCCCATTTCAACTCGTGGATTTTAGAAGTAGATTATTCAATCATACTTTCTTCAATAAATGCTCAATTATGAACTCAAGGATATTTTTGATCTCAATTCACTCGGTACTATCCATTTAAAAATTAAAGTTTTTCAGGCCCCTAAAGATTCTCCATTGTACGCACTTTTGTTAATGGAAGCTATGCAAAATTGGATAGAATAGGAACTGAATCACTAAATACAAAAAAGGCACATGTCCTGAAAACCAAATTGTTCAGGAGACACAAAAAACTGTTTATTTCGTGGTAGATATTTTTCGGAAAGTCGTTATGTTTAAAAATAAACAAGCTATGTAAGAAATATAACTAAATAATAAGAACTCAAATTAACAATCAACTTAAAGGCATTCGAAAAGTACTAATTTTTTTTTTTCTGCTTTCGAGGAACTGAATTTTTAGTAAATGTACTGAAGAAGGGCTACAATAGTGCTTAATATTTGCCGGCCAGTTTTGGTTGCCGCCTATCTATGCGACGCAAGTATCCTGATTTGGAAAGTTGGCAGTTTCGAAAACGCCTTCAAATGTGGCGTGATACCTCACGCGTTCCGGAGAGTACGAATAGTTGTATCATTGCGCCTTAGCAATGCGATGGAAGATGGATATGAAATCAGCCTCCACGCTGCGGCCTGGTCAGTTTTCCTTTACTGCTGTTGCAGTTTTGACCGCAAATTTTAAGTGTGTTCAAGCTAGATTTGTATTTAGTGAAAAGGTAATATTTTATAAGAATTAAAAGTAAACAAGCGCAGGAAGAAATATAGCTAAATAATAGGAACTCAAATTAACAATCAACTTACAGGCACCGAAAAAGTACTGAATTTTTTCGGCTTCCGAGGAACTGAATTATTAGTAAATGTTCTGGAGAAGAGCTGCAATAGTGCTTAAAATTTGCCGGCCAGTTTTGGTTGACGCCTATCTATGCGACGCATGTATCCTGATTTGGAAAGTTGGCAGTTTCGAAAACGCCTTCAAATGTAGCGTGATACCTCACGCGTTCCGGAGAGTTCGAATAGTTGTATCATTGCGCCTTAGCAATGCGATGGAAGATAGATGTTAAATCAGGCTCCACGCTGCGATCTTGCCAGTTTCCCTTTACCGCTGTCGCAGTTTTGACCGCAAAGTCTAATAGTGTTCAAGCTAGGCTTGCATTAAGCAATTAGATAGTTTTTTAGAAGAATTAAAATATATCTACCACGAAATAAACATTTTTTTGTGTCTCCTGAACAATTTGGTTTTCTGGACATGTGCCTTTTTTGTATTTAGTGATTCAACTAAAGGGCGCACAGACCCCATGCGCATAGTTCGTCATCTTCCGGCCAAAGTATCACAATCATTCACAAGCGCCATGCTATGACTCCAAATTTCCGCCGCCATTTTATATTTTTACAGAAACATTTTTGGTAGAATCTGTTTGAAAATTTCACTGAATTTTAACAGCAGCACAAAGGAAATTTAAAGAAATTTTCAAGAGATTCTCCTAGTAATTTCTCTGTAAAAAAATAAAATGGCGGCGGAAAGTTCGAAACGTCGCGTCGCATGGTGCTTGTGATACTTCGACCGGGAGGTGGCGAGCTCTGTTTCCTTTAGCTCATTTTCACATGGCTCCTTTCAGCATAGTTTCACCATCAACTTCTCCTGCTGGAATACTTACCGAGAGTAATGAAGAGCCCCAACGGATGCTCAAATAAAGGATACAACTCATTATCGGATGAAATTCCAACTGATACGCTTCTACCGATGTTGGTGAAGATGAAAAGTGGAATTTCAATCACTAACTTGACTGCGTCGACGGCGCTCGCTATCAGGAACAGAAGCACACATTTTGGCTTTTCCTACAACGCGGAAAAAAACATTTAATTTTTTGGAGGATCATGAAAGATAATAAAATTTTGTAATGACTACACTGAAAAAAAAGGATTGCTAATTCACCGATTTAGGGTGGAGCAAAATTTGCTTCACTTCGTAAAGCTTTCTTATCCGTTCACGGTGTTGAATCAAGTGAACGACTAGCACGAATTGCTATACCGATTTGCTACATCTGCGCGCCTTCACGCAGTTAATCTTGCATCGAGTGGCTTGGAAGTGTAACTGCATTTTTTGGTATTGGTACTTTGTGAACAGTAAAAATAGCTCAATAGTTAGGCTGAAATAGCGGAATTTACGGAAAAATAGCGAAATTTACGGAAGAAAAACTAAAAAGGTAACAGACGTAGCTTTTCAGAGAGCAAAATCACCTACACGCGTGTGTGTAAGTTAGCTGAAATTTGTGAAGCGATTTTACCTGCATGGTTTGCACGTTCGTTTTTTAGCTACACCATGCCATGAAATACCCGCGTGCAAGGCAAATTCAGCAATATTTTTTTTTTTTCAGTGTACTACACTAAAAAAAAAAGATTTGTAGAATTTACCATTCCTTCACGCTGTATTTCACACAGCGTGAAGGAATGGTAAATTCTACCAACCTTCAAGTCGATTCTGCCAGAGGAATGGTTACCTGTACCAGTATATAGTAACGTTTACCTTTCTTTTGGCAGAATTGACTCTAAATTGACGCTGTGTGAAATACAGCATGAAGGAATGGTAAATTATACCAATCTTTTATTTTCAGTGTAATTACAGATAATCATATTCCCCGCTTAATCGTCTTCATATGTCGAAGGCCAGAAGTGGATCCAGCAATTTGGCAACGCCAAATTTCCTCCATTTAAACCTTAATCGATTCTTGTTGGATGACCTGGCTCTTCTAAGAATCGAGACATTTCTATAGGTTTATACCGAGAAAAAAAATGTTGCCAATATGCTGGATCTGCCAATGTCGATGACTAAAGTGCGAGACCAAGTATATATCTACGTTTACGACGTTGTAGACTTCCACATGATTTTTTGAAAAATTCCTTGATTTTTTTTCTGTGTTAGTAGAATATGCCATATGTATACATTTCAAGTTATAAAGTTGACTTGTTCCTCTTCGAAAAAATAAAAAAGGAGTGGGCATTTTGAAACACCGCAATGGAGATACTTGGTGTCACACTTTAGCCGTCGATACGGATCCTTAGCTTAAGCACAATGCTTTTTCGATACGATCGCTGCATTCAAAATTTAATCCAAGGGGATTATTTTGGAGAAATCGAATTGTCAGTCTCTGAGGGCCGTATTTATAATAATCGTTTCTTAAACAGATCATTTTCTCGGGGAGCTCCATATAGTTAACATGGTCATTGATAAGGGTGAAAATGAAGCAAGCAATCAGAGAGCCAGTGGCGTGGCGTGCTTTGCGATGTATCGATTGTTATGCCATTTAAACCTATGAAAAAGGATCGATAATCAGGGTCTTCGCAGCGAACACTTTAATAATCGATTCTCTACCATTGGTTTAAATGACATAACAATCGATATATCGCAAATCACGCCACGCCACTGCAGAGAGCAACAGTTGTTCCTGCACCAAACGGATTACGAAGCAGATTTTGATGGGGAGCATCCCCTGTTACATTATGCAGAATAGGCACGAAAGGCGGGAAGAGCAGGTGTCCACACACACACGGGAGAATTTCATGAGGCGCCGCCCGCGGCGCACTATGGTCCAAAACTCAAAAATAGGAAGAAATAAGTCGGATAATGACTGAAAGATCACGAAAGTTTCGTAACTGATGTATTTTGAGTCGCTAATTTTGAATTTAATGTCGATTTGCCAAGATTTTAACACCCTGACCTATTAATTGTGTGCAAGTTTATGGCACGCTGCGGCGCGGCGTGCTGCCAGCTCGAAACGCGAACTGGTGCCTACAAACCTAAATGGATACTTCAAGCATTGCGCAATGCGTGAAGTATCCATTATGCGTATGCATGAAGGCGTCAGTGCGCGTTTCGAGCTGGCAGCACGCCGCGCCGCAGCGTGCCATAAACTTGCACACAATTAATAGGTCAGGGTGTTAAAATCTTGGCAAATCGACATTAAATTCAAAATTAGCGACTCAAGATACATCAGTTACGAAACTTCCGTGATCCTTTAGTCATTATCCGACTTATTTCTTCCTATTCTTGAGTTTTGGAGTATTCTTGAGTGCTGCCAGCTCGAAACGCGAACTGACGCCTACAAACCTAAATGGATACTTCAAGCATTGCGCAATGCGTGAAGGATCCAGTTAGGTTTGTAGGCGTCAGTGCGCGTTTTGCGCTGGCAACACGCCCCGCGGCTCTCCCGGCGGGCGGGTGGAGAACGATTTCTTGCGGGGAGAGCTCCCTCTCGGAGAAACTTGTACATCGTGTAATTTTTTTTAATTTTTTAACTTTTTTTTAGTATTTGATTTTTAGAATTAGGTACACATTCTTGTTCTTCTTTCTGTAGTCAAGACTTACCGCATAGACGCCAATGAGCAGAATGATACCGGCAATTCTGAGAAGAATGCCGTCAATAAAGTAGTCGATCACCCATAAGTAAACGGCCACCCTTTTCTCTAAGGAAAATCGAAACAATTGAAATTAATTTCCTAAATAGTCTGCATGAAGTTGGAAAATATCTAGTGCTCTGTGCTCTACAGAAAATTGGACGAATTTCTATCAAACGGAACTATGTGCATTACGACATGAGCCCTGAGACCCGTAAGAATACATGCATACCAGGGCTCACGTCATAATGCACATTGTTCCGTTTGATAGAAATACGTCCAATTGATCCCACTCCTTCCAGTCCCATTTGTATATGAGATAAGTCACTGAATAAAATTAGCTTATCTTTTTTTTTACTATTAAAAACTTGGTTTTTATGCACGCCCAAAGACTCTTCCAGCAATTTGTCTCCCCATTCTTACCGCGATACTTCTACTTGAAAAAAATAGAGATACTTTCACAAGTTGATTTATTTTTCAAGTTCAGCATATGCCTCATGTTTATTATTGTTCGGAATGTTTATTATGTATTCAGAATAATTTTTGACTTTCTCTCTGCAAAAATAATTGATTGGCATTTTTAGAAGAAGGGTAGGGACATCGGTCAAAAATAGTGAATGGTACAGCTTCACTGGTTTCGGAAATTAAATTGATGAGTCCGACAATGGAGTGGCGTGATTTGCGAAATATCGATTGATCTGCCATGTTAACCTGAGGAAAAGGATCGATAAATAGGCTGTTCACAAGGAACACCTTAATAATCGATTCTTTAGCATAGTATCAAATGGGGAAATATTGATAATCGATCATTCACGCTTGCCACTGCAGTCTACTACTGCTAATAAGTCGCTCTTACAGCGCTTGCTCTGCGACACTCACCCGCCACTGTTAGCGATCTTGCCAGAGCTCCTCCGGCAGATTGCACACTGCAGTCAAACTACCAGAAAATTGAGTTCACTGATTTACTAAGAATGGACTGACCTGGGCTATTTGAAATGTCGATCCCCTTCAAACGATTAGCGACAGGCCAAAATCCAAGAATCATGAGTGCGCCTACAATCTACGGTAGTCAAAATTACAAAAAAAAGAACATCAAATCTTTTTTATAAAAAAACTAGCTGTTCACTTAACGTAACAAGTATATATGTATTTCTGAATACTAGGTTGTAATTAGTGAGAGTAGGTTAATGAAATCTAGGTATATCTATCTTTCACCCGCAAGAAGTGACAATTTTTTTTGGCGCTGGTAAAACCCCCAATGTGATTTGATCTACGTAATATTTTCTACAGAATTCATGTGTACACATTGACATTCATTGAGAATCAACAATCACCGACAATTGGACGCATTTCTGCCACTAACTATGTTTACTAAACATGAGCTACAATGAACAAAGGAGGTAGGTAATAGACTACACGGAAAAAAAATTGCTGATTCAACAATTCAATTGCTAAAAACAGTGAGTGCAATGTTTCAACGCAGATTTTACAACAAAAAAATGCTACTTTAACCACCCCCGTGGTTAAATTAGTTTACAATGTGGTTAAAGTAGCATTTTTTTGTTGTAAAATCTGCCTTGAAACATTGCACTCACTGTTTTTAGCAATTGAATTGTTGAATCAGCAATTTTTTTTTTTGCGTGTAACTAACGGCAACCAACAAAAAGACCCGACAGTTAGATTGTCATTTTCCCTCTTAGTCTGTAAAGATCACCAGTTTCAACCAATGGGATCGCTCCATACCCCCTATGTCTTTTTTGTCCCTAGCTTTGTCTATCAATTTCAATAATCGGGCCGCAGGCATAAGTGAAAAAAATCAAAGTAAGTACTAGTCGAAATCGAAAAGAGTTTAGTTTTTGAGACTAATATTTTAGCTTAATACTATACTATGCTTACCACAGTGAACCAGCCTATGATCAGCACTCCCGTTCTCAGGGAGCAACCGCAGCAACAAAACCTCAATTGCGGGAAAAAGGAGTTGGGTCCAAAAACCGACCGAGATCTGTCCGGCACCATAGTTCAAGTAGGCTTCAAATAGAATCCTGGAAAATAATTGGGACAGTGTGACAGCTGTAATTAGATGAAATAAAAACGCTGCCTATTTTAATTATACATACACTGAAAAAAAAATTCTCGGCGTTTTTACCAAGGTCCGTTGGTACCTTTACCATCTCACTTTTTTTTACCAATTATTGGTGATTTTACCAAGACAGACTGGTAAGCTTACCTAAAAACCGGTATTTTTGCTATTTTATTTCAGGAAAGAATACCACTTTTATTGGTAATCGATTCCCGGTAACTTTGCCATTTTATCTCGGTAATCCTACCATAGTCCATAAAAAATATTGGCGTTTTTACCAAGGTCCAGTAAAATTACCAAGAAAATTCATTAATTTCACCGAGATTTCTCGGTAAAATTACCAATTCCATAAATGGTAATTTTACCAAGAAAAAATTGGGAATAAATAGAACCCTGAATTCTTGGTAATTTTACCCTTTTCTTAGTAAATACACCGATATTTTTTTTCAGTGTACGATATCGACGGTGAAACCAGTACTCCCATTTCTCGGAACTAGTGCCAAATTTCGGACCTTTTGAGATCTTTTTGAATTATTCCCGGAATTTTTGAAATGCCCGAAAGGTTCCGCATTTTTAGCATTTTCCGGAACTTTTGAAAACATCTAAAAAGAATCCCAGAACTTTCGACGGACATGGAATCGGAGCACTGGGGAGGTTCTGCAAAAATGCGTATCTCGGTTGCGGCATTTTGAAATCTTCGCTGATATTTTATTCTTCAAAATGAGACAGAATCAACATTATGGCTTGAAGTTTCTACAGAATATTTTTTAAAAAGAGAAGAAAAATCACGATGATTTTCGGAAAATTATGTTCAGTAATTTTCCATGTAGAAAATTAAGAATGACAGGAAGTCCGCTACGCTGCATGGACCGAGATACCTACGCACTTCTTCAGTTTCACCATCAATATGTCGATAGGTTTTCAAAATTTGGAATGATTTGGAATCTATCAAGGATACGTACCATCGATTGTGGTGATCCAAGTCTCTGCTGATATTTTTTTTTTTTTTTTCAAAATAAAATTAACCAACAGTTTTTCTTGACATTTTATGTGAATTTTGCACTCATTCATCAATTTTCACTGATAATTTTTTTTTAAAAAAAACATTTAGATTAGTTCTGTTTCTAAACAAATGAATAAAGAAAATATCAGAGATTCTGAAACGCCATTTATTCAATACGCTTGTTATTTTTCTGCCATCGATATGCATAATTGAATAAATAGTAAAATATAAAAGGAAATTAAGCAACGCTTAGTATACTTGGGCTGATTCCCGTTAAGTTCGAACATAACATCTCGTCAAAGTGTAGAGAGACCTCCGTTTCACACGAAAAAGATCAACAGGGCCTAAACTGAATTAATCTCTGACGTTTATAGCATATGTCCCAGAATATCATTTTGCTAAGATAATATTGATATTAAATCGCCTTTCAGCGCAATATAAATACCATATTTCTACCAGGAAATCGGAATATTTTCACGTCATATGGTCAATGAGTGCCACTTTCAAGGATCGATAAAGTGAGTTCCATGTCAAAAAGGAAAGGCGAGTTACAATACAAGGGTGGACTGGAAACGATTTTAATTTCACCGGAACACATTTCTGTAAGAGGAGCCCCTTCAATTAGTAGATAGGCAACATACACAACACTTCATCGCTGAACGATAATCTGACTACATTTTGCAATTAGGAGACACAATGGGCCTGTTGCAAAGTTTTGCTAGAGCAGAATGAAGAGTTGTTAATGCCTCAAAAATCACGATGAACGCATCGGCAAAGTCTGAAATGCACTCATAAATTCTCAATCTGCGTAAGAAATTTGCGTTGTTTTGAGCTTCCCGCTTCAAAAACGATACTACTGCACAGATGAACATTTTGTTAGAGGAGTCGCTCCATCGTCGGCAATATTCATCATGGCCGACGCTTGCGCAGTTCCTCGCGTAATTCGAGGAGAGTTCAAGGTCAATTAAGGCGGGCGAGGAAAATATGAACTTAAACACGCCGATTGTTATATGGTTTAATCCTGTTCAGGTGTTATCTCGTCCCTTCACACATGTTTTGGCGGACTGGCGTCGGCCATGATGAGTTTTGTCGCCGATGGAACGACTCCTCTAACAAAATGTTCACCTGTACCGTAGTATCGTTTTCGAAGCGGGAAGCTCAAAAAACCGCAAAAATCTTACGCAGATTGTGAAGTTATGAGTGCATTTCAGACTTTGCCGATGCGCTCATCGTGATTTTTGAGGCATTATCTGCAGGAAACAACTCTTAGTTTTGCTCTAGCAAAAGTTTGCAACAGGCCCATTTCTGGCTCATCCATAAAAACACTTGTGTGCGAAGGAAAACTAATGACTCTTATGCTGATTCTGAGTCAGAAAATTGTAGTATCTGATCGCAAAATGGAGTCCAATCTTGCCATGCAATCGAAAATATTCGTAGGTAGTCTGTGCATGTGCAATTTAAGCAAAGGGTCTCATCTCAATACTGCCTTGCTAGGGAAAAACGCCGTGTGAATATTCGAGAGTTGCCAAATTTCCACCACAACAATGATTATTTTTGAGGAGAGTTGTGAATATTTCCTCTTGACATTTTCAGATGATATAGATCTAATTACAAAAAAATACTCTGAAGAATTAAACGAAAAATATTCACAATTTCTCCTGAAAATTCGTAAATGATCAAAGGCAATTTGGCAACTGGCGAAAGTTCATAAGGCGTTTTTCCTTAGCCGGCAGAATAGTCATGCACTTTGAATGAATAAAAAGTTGTCCTCTAGGATTTAACTATAATGCCGTAAAAAAAGAAAGGAAAAAATAAGAAAAAATCTCACCGTTCGAAAGAAATACTCAAGGTACCTCAGCCGCCAGATGGTAAATAAGAAAATTGTCCAGTTCTGGATACCTACACTTATGGTGATTTAGAATTTGACCTGAGAAATGGATGTGAATAACATGATCCCTAGCCGAAAAATGAGCCACGCAGGACGAGCTGACCATACTCAATCGACGCGTCTCTACGATGGGCGAGCATTCGTTCGATTCGCAATCTATTATTCAACAGCCTGTCAGTCAAAAAAAATGAAACCCTTCATACTGCGAGTAAGACGGTGGCGAACCTTGCCGCAACACGCAGCGTCGTGGTGGCACAGAAAATTTGAATGTGCTAGCAGGTGCGTGGCGTGCTTTGCGATATATCGATTGTTATGCCATTTAAACCTATGGAAAAGGATCGATAAACAGGGTGCTCGCGACGAACACCTTGATAATCGATTCTTTACCATAGCTTCAAATGGAGCGTTGGAAGGAAAATATTTAAAAATTTCTCTGAAGATTAATATTTTATCGAAGGAAATTTGGCAACATCTAAAAGCTCATACGGCGTTTTTTCTTCGCACGGTAGTATGAGAGGGGCCGGTCTGGGCCCACCCTTGATGAATTTCCACAACTCTGCGATTTTTTGCTCATTGAAAGTCTATACTTTACGGAATGCATCGTGGTTTGATCATTTCCGGTCTCTTTCCAGATCTAATACAGATACTTGGCCTGGTCTGAGGGCCAATCTTGGCGGAAAATGCGGGTTTGCGGTCGAATTCCGAAAAATCCTCATCTTCCGCCAAAAACCGTCCAGATCAAATCACAATACATTCCATAAAATATAGACCTTCATCCAGAAAAAAATCGTTGATTTGAGGAAATTCAGTCAGGGTGGGCCGAAAAACAGCGCTTATATGAAAAATGTCCCTTTCATGAAAATGTCCTTAAGGTGATTCGTCTAGCTCAAGTGACGTGGTTGAATTGCCTTGCGATATATCGCATCAATTAGGTCAAAAATTCCGACAGATTTTGAATTTTTAGCCGTAAAGAGGACGACAGCCCCTGCGCAAGAACCTGAAGAATTATTCTAAACCAAAAAATTATCAAAATGGAGGGAAATGAAAGCAGAATCCTGCTTGAAAATGTCCTCCCATTTGACACAGAAATCGATAACTATATCGAATGCGAGGTTTTTTTTCCATACAGGATTCTGCTTTCATTTCCCTAAATTTCCATAATTTTTTGGTTTAGAATGATTCTTCAGGCTCATGCACATGGGCGATCGTCCTTTTTTCGGCTAAAAATTCAAAACCACCATTTCCTATGGTGAAGTGGTCGTAGCGCTAGCTCTATGATCGGGAGGTCCCGGGTTCGATTCCCGGCCAGGCGACCCGAGTTTGACGGTCTCAAACAATGGTTGCCTGAGACTGGTTAGGGACGGAGGGGGGCGGGACTTAAGCTCAAGGATTAGCTCTTGTGGGCTACTTGAAATAGGAAAAAAAACAGCTGGGATTTTTGACCTAATCGATGCAATATATCGCATGCCAGTTCGACCACGTCACTTGGGCTTGGCGAATCATCTCAATGATTCAGAGAAATGCGCGGAAAGTCTCGATGCATTTTGTTGCTAATTATTGTAAGTTCTCCTAAAAAGGGATAATACATTGGAGGAGATGATGCGACATGTAATGCAGTCATGCCGATTCTGTTCAGATCCGTCCATTAATAAAACTTCATAGTTTGTTTCGATTTGACAGCCTTCTGTAAAGGAACTGCGTTAAGCAGAAAGGAACCAAGCCACATCAGCTGTTGCCAAATTTAATTGAACCATTTAATTTTTACATGAATAAAACGATTGTGCGGATTTTTTTGTTAATTTCAGTTAATTTTCGGCGCAGTACAAAGCAGATTTCTTAAAATTTTCAAAGGAGTCCGCACAAACGTTCTCCTGTGAAAAATCAAATTGCCCAGTTGCTTAAAGGCTATAGCAGATGTGGCTTGGTTCCTTCCTGCGCGGAAAGTTTCGATTCATTTTGTTGCTAATTATTGTAAGTTCTCCTATAAAGGGATAATACATTGGAGGAAATTATTCGACATGTGAAGCAGTCATGCTGATTCTGTTTAGATCCGTCAATTATTAAAAACGCATCGTTTGTTTTGATTTGACAGCCCTCCTTAGAGGGACTGCGTTAAGCAGAAAGGAACCAAGCCACATCAGCTGTTACCAAATTTAATTGGGCAATTTAATTTTTACACGAATAAAACGGTTGTGCGGTTTTTTTTGTTAAAAATTAAACTACGTAGTTAAATTTGGCAATAACAGATGTGGCTTGGTTCCTTCCTGCTGAACGCGGTCCAATTATTTGACATGTAAAGCAGTCATGCTGATTCTGTTTAGATCCGACCATTATTAAAACTTGACCGTTTGTTTCGATTTGACAGCCCTCTTTAAATGAGGGTCGCTCAAAGGGTTGTTAAGCACTCGCAAGTCAACGATATAATGGTCCTCAGAAAACGTATCCGGAAGTTCAACGGTCTCCTTGCAAGCTTTTCTCCAAGCTTGATAATGATCAAGTCCACTCATAAGTCATGAGCTTCCCACACCTGTTTTCCGTCCTCGCCACCCCCCCCCCCCCCCNCCCCCAGCCAAACTCTCACTCAAGTCGGGAAAAATCGATAGAGATAAGGACAGTCCCAACACGTAGACGAGAGATCGGCCGTCTTAAGTAAAAACGCCGTATGTACATTCAAGAATTGCCAAATTTCATCCAATTAAATGTTTATTTTTCAGGAAAGTTATACATATTTTCCCTTGGAAATTTTCCATTAATTTATATCAATTCGTGAATGAAATGTTCTGAAAAATTTCAGGAAATATATGCACGGATTTACCTGAAAATTCGTATTTTAGCAGAGGAAATTTGGCAACGTCTGATGGTTCATACGACCATATTCCTAAGCACGGCAGAGATATACTCGTCAATTTGAAGCTCCATTAAAGTTATTAGTTTTTTCGCAGACGGCTAAACTACCGTGCTAAAGAAGAACGCCGTATGAACATCCGAGAATTGCCAAATTTCCCCGGATAAAACATGTATTTTTGACGAAATTTAAGCATATTATTACACGAAATTTTCAGATATTTTAGATATTTATTATTTAAATTGCGAATAAAATAGTCTGAAAATTTTGAAGAAAAATATTTACAATTCCACCAATAAATTCGTATTTTATCGGAGGAAATTTGGCAACGCCTGAAGGTTCATACGGCATTTTTCCTTAGCATGACAGTGAAGGCTCAAAGGATTTGCGAGGAAACCCGCATCGAAAACACTGAAAGGCACGGCGCGGATTGTCTAACTTTTAGCAAGAATTTTTGGATACTGTGCCAAAGTGTTGGAAAGAATTTTCATTGAAATTACACGTCAGCGGTTTGCAGCAAAATTTACCATTCCTCCACATAATTTTTAGCAACGATTATTCTTGATTTCAATTTTTTTCCTCGAGAGCGTTATTTAGAGGGATTTGAATCAAAAGGAACTATATTAACTCTGGCATGAGCCCTCAAATACATAAGAGTACGTCCATAACAGGGCTTATGTCAAAACGGACATATAGTTCCTCTTGATTTTAATACGTCCATTTTTCATTCTCTTCTTTAGTAATCCCTGCTAAAAATTGGCAGTAGAATGTGTGTTCCAAAGTACCATAGACCTACAGCCGGCTGTAAGATACCCAATAGCTTCTGTAGTCGGATGTACAATTTCTTATAGCCTTTTATAGCCGATGGCGATTAAGCAACAACCAGACGATAAAGTTTATGCTAAACGTTAATACGGATACTAGGACTTAGTTAGTTTTTGGACTACCTCTCTTTTTGTGCCGTAGTATCTTGATTTATTTTGCGAGGAAAGCTCCGTACTTTTGAAGGATGCCTGTCATTCTTAATATGTTGGAGCGCCTTCAATTTCTTATGATACTGTGCAATACATCTGGTGTGAAATAGTTGCTTCAGACGCCGTGGCACGCTGCGGCGCGGCGGGCGGGCGCACATTGGCGCCTACAAACCTAACAAGGATACTTCACGCATTGCGCAATGCGTGAAGTATCCCTGTTAGGTTTGTAGGCGCCGGTGCGTTGCCGCTCCGCTTTGTGTTAGGCTCTAATATTTAATCTCGCGGAGTCAGCGTTTTTCAACTCATGATTTTGAAATGTTTGCACGCTCTGTATGGACTATTCTCATTTTGATTGATGAAAAAAAAATATGTTTTAAAGGAAAATATAATGTGTGTTTTGTAAATATTAAGGTAGTTCCGTATCAAACTTAATGATTTCCAAAGCACACGAATTTCTACACAATTTTTTATAGCCTTTTGTAGCCAATGGCGATAAAGTGTAAAGCCCGGCGATAGGAACTATAGCCCGACTGTATACTTTTTTATAGCTTCGTGTAGCCCGGCTATATGATTTGCTCCGTTTTCTACAGCCAGCTATATGATTTTCAATAGCCTTCTTTAGTCGGCTACAAGAACTCCTATGGTATTATGAAACGCAGCTCCCATCGCCAATTTTTACCAGGGATGTCAACGCTTCCGCTTGAATCTCGCTTTTTGCACATTGGGATAATGAAAGGAACGTTATTTACGTTGCAAAAATTTTACTATGAATGAATAAATTGTCAAATGAAGGACCAATAGGATATCGGAAAATTCAATTGTATATACAGCCTCGAAAAAATCTGTGACACTTGATAACATCCTGTGGGCCACAAAATACGGGAAACGGGTTAATGACCTTATCGCTGAATTGAAAGGAGAGTAAGGGTTCATTAGGAAACTCCTTGTCAGTTTCACGTGGCTAGTTTTACGAGGTCAATGTCGTATCCGCATGTAAATGTTTGAACTAGCATTGGTCAGTAAGTCAGAAGATCAACATTGATACCATTACGAAATGACGGTACTCGGTTGTAAATATTCCCCGCGTGCCCTGATTTTTGACGCCGCAATTAGGGGAGACCGGGGCTATGTTGGCCACGGGGCTATTGCCGCAATCAGACGCTGAATTTAGCTCCTGAATGTGGAAGTCAACAGTCATCGCCCAACGGCTGAAATTTAGCAAATTCGAGTTATTTTCATCCAGATGTGTATCAAATCTACTCGAATAGTTCAGACAAATTCAAAATTGGTCCGATGGG